AGTGGCCAACCCTAGGGACCCTGGAGGGGATGGACCGAAGACAGTGACCAAGCCATTTGTCTCATGCCATCCCTCTCCAGCCTTCCACAAACTTTGGGCAGGGACACCACTCCTACCCTCTGGCTAATAGGACTCCATGGACCCAACCTCCATGACTTGATCTCACTTCCCTTTCAACTCTGTTCTAGTTGTAGCCTTCACAGCCTCCTGCAGCAAGGAGTTCTGCAGGTTAACTATTTGCTTTGTGAAGAAGCACAACTTTCTCTTACTAGTTTGAAGCCTGCTACCCATTCCTTTCCTTTGGTGTCCTCTAGTCCTTCTTTATGGGAACTCAGGAAGAACTTTTCTGAATGCACCCTCTCCACCCAACCCCTGCTTTTAGAGACCTCTATCCTGTCCCCGCTCCATCTCCTCTTTTCTAAGCTGAACAGTCCCAGTCTCTGTAGCCTCTCTTCATCTGGGACCTGTTCCCAACCCCTGATCATGTTAGTTGCCCTCCCCTCTTCCAGCCTTTCTCTTCCCCTCTCCCACCTCCTTTTCCCAGTCTCCCCCAGTTTTGTTCAATAAAGACAGAGTCAATGTTGGAAGAAACATTATCTTTATTTTGTACATCAGGAAGGCGGGCTAGGGAAGGGTAAGTGGAAGGAGGTGAGGGAGGAATGGGGTACGAGCCCCCGATGGGGAGGACTGGGCTGGCTCTGTGGGCTTCTGGGGGTGGAAGCTCTCCTGCAGCCCCCCAATTGCCCCCTCTCCCCAGATGGCAGCCTGCGGCAAGTGCAGCCAGTCTGATGGCCGAGTGGTGTGATGTGCCCAGTGTGGGCACTCCGGGCACTCCAAGCCAAGACTGGTTTTCAAGCGGGGCACCCCTGAGAACTGTCTGTCCGGGGTGGGGATCGGGACCCTTTAAGCACAGCCCTCGGCTAGCCTGAGACAGCATCTCCCCGCTCTAAGTCCTCCTCTGATGCCCTGCCGGCACTGCTTCCGGCCATCCTTAAGCCCTGTTCAGGGTCCACTCAATGTGGACTTGCTAGTTCGAATTAGCAAAACGCTAATTCGAACTAGTTTTTAGTTCTAGACGAGTTAGTTCGAATTAGCTTAGTTCGAATTAACTAATTCGAACTAAGTTAGTTCGAACTAACTCTGTAGTGTAGACATGCCCTAGTTGAGTACCATCAGGCCTATTAGTCACTGACCTACTTTAGGAAGAGGGGTGGGGGAGAGAGATAGCTACACTCAGCAGCAGCTCCAGTACACAGTGTGTGCTTTAAGGAAGAACAGCACCTCCTGGACAAATCATAAAGGTTCCATGCTTAATCCTCAAGTCAAGTCATCCAAGTGGACAAGAAATCAATTTGGTAATACTTTCACACATATTAGTTCTCTGCTTTGGAAATTCCCAAGATGAGACTTAGTGGCAGTGATAACCAGCAGGGGTGGAGAACCTTTATGGAGTCAGGGGCCACTGACCCATAGTAAAATCAGTTGGGGGCTGGACAAGTGAAAAGTGCAAAAAAAACCAAACTCCTCACTGATGTGGCCCCTGTCGGAGGAGAAAGACATTCCCCGTATTCCCCTCCCACATCAGAGCTTGGGGGACCCAACCTAATATATTTTGTGTGCTCCAGCCCTGCAGGGAGGCAGCCGGAGTGCTAGAGCACAAGCTCAGGCTCCTGAATGCCAGGGGTGAGTGAAAGGTGTCCTGAGCTTTAGGGGCTGGATACAGGCAAGCCAGGGGCTGCATCCAGCCCTGAGGCTCCCCACCCCTGCTATACAGATTTTCCACTGAGGGAAAAAATGAAATGTTTTCAAACTGATCATAAACAAGGGAGAAAACTAACTTTATACCATCAGTTGCTGAACTCCACCCATTGTCCATGTGAAAAGAGGATTATTTTTAAGAGATTTAAGGTAAATTATTTCAGAGACTTCTCCAGTTCTACTGAAGAGCCTGTTTGGGTGAGAGTTGGATAAGGGAGCTGCCTCCTTAGAACAGTTCAGTGATAGTTGGCCATCCTACACTTTTTATGATGAGAAATGAGCAGACAAAAAGAATGTGAAGCTTAATAAAATGTTCAACAGCTTCAGCGAAACCACTGGGAGTGTGTCTTTATTATAAACACACATTATTTTAAGCAAAAGACTGAGTGCATCAGGGATAGAAATAGTTTCAGTTATATGCTTTCTTCTTCCTCCAGAACACATTTTCCTAGCTCTACAGAACTTCTCCATGGCTTCTTATGGTGACCATCTGATGAATATAAAAGATTACCAGACTTATGACCCCTTACATTGGCCCTTGTGGGAAGACAGGATCTGAGCTAGATAGACTTTGATCTGACCCAGTATGGCCGTTCCTATGCCCCAAAGTTGAAACTAAATATTTCTCCAAATTAACTAAAACTTCAAGATGCAAAAAAATAAAAAAAACTAACAAATGATAAAAGCACAGTCTTTGACATGATGTTAGAGAATAAATGAATAGGAACAAAAACTTCAGCCAACTGAAAAAGGTTGTCATCTTAATTTTGGTTCCTTTTAAAAGAAGGAACCGCCTAACTGCAGTCTTGGGATTTCCATCAGCAAGAAGCTATAATGGAATGTTGAAAAGTAGGACTTCATACTCAAAACTACATGAGAGGCAACAGTACAAAAGACTGTAGCATCCCAGTCAAGAAACTACTACCTTTTCCGAACCAGAAGATTCTTCCCTTATTATCTTTATGTACAAGCAGGGTTCACCAAATTCTGGTCAGTGGTACTTTCCTATGAGCATTCATCACCAGAAGAGTTTATAGTCACATCAGCACATTCAGAAGAGGTCACTGCTTTATTTGACATGCACATTATTACCTTCGCTTTATGATCTGGAAGAAGGAGCTGCTAATTGGTCATCAATTGTCTTACTTAGGTACTGCAGACCTGTAGGGTGGGGCACATCCTAGTAACTAACTGAGTTCTGAAAAAAGCAGCTGCCATCATTCCCTGTTTGCACAAGTGGCCTCTAGAAAAAGGATATGTACCCAGTGCCTGGGGCTGGAGACACATACAAATGTAGCTAATCTGAAAAAATCCATTACAACAGAAGGAGGGAAGTTACAAAAATCTCACAATGGGACACTTGATACAGTCCTGCCTGTTGCCAAAACCTTTCAGGGCTTCCAGCAGCAAACAGCAGCTGTAGAGAGGTTTGCCACAGCTGTTTGAAGCTCTGAACCCCTGAAATAGCAGCTGTAGCACTAGTTGTATTTACACTTTGGGTTTGGGTTCCATTCATTGTTTGTTACATTCTCCTTCCCTTGGGCTCGTTGTGCTCCTTTCAAAGGAAAAAGGTACATGCTGGGGTGCAAGAACCTTACAGGAAAGTCTAGTAAACAAGAGCCATTCACTACCACTGCCTAATTCAAAAATAAACAAACCATCCAACAGGAAAATATTAAATCAAACTATTCAAATCTTTCCATCCAAGTGTTTAGATCAGTCAGACGTCCCGCGGCAGAGTTTTTGAAGGCGAGCCAGTCAATTTAGGTAGCTTTCACCGTATCAGCCAATGTTACTGACACAATGAGAAGCAAAAGGTAAGGATCTGGGTATGTCTGTCCGCAGCAAGAAAAACATAGCCCTTCTTCCGAAGAGCTTGCACTCACAAGTGAGAGGGTGCAACATACAAAACTTCGGTGCCAGTGAGCCCTTGAAAAGCCTCCTGAAGTTACACTGAGAAGTTTGCTCCGATTCTTTTCTTCCCTTCAGTTGTGCCTGGATGTCCCGGGACAAGGGGAATTACAGGTGATTACAAAATAATGCTGCAGTGGGAGCACCCCCAGGCAAACAACACGGGCTGGGGAAGAAGATGGGTCAACTTACTCTCATCTACTTAGTGCAGCACCTCCAGCTACGGAGACGTTACATCTCTCTGCCTAGCAAAGCTATTTAGGCTCAGGAATGCACAGTAAGCTCTAGTCAGCTATCTAGTAGGGCACTAGGTACAGCGTGCGGAGTCGGGGAGCACGTTTGAAAGCGAACGGGGCAGGTGATGGGGGAGGGTAGGATTCACCAAAGGTTTACATTAGTCTTGTAAATACTAGTGATAAGAAACAAGAGAGCCACTTACCATCTCGCCTGAGATTAGAGGATCGCAAGGCTTTTATAGATCCGCTCTGGGCAGTGGTGCCCTGACGGCTGCAAAAGTTTGCACAGACTACAACGTAGAGGAGGAGGCAGACGGACAGTTGCATTGGGATCCGCTGTGAGGGGGATCGTATCTGCCCAAAGAAACCAGGCTCAAGGAAGCCCCCCTCTCCCCTTGTGGGATTTTTTTTTTGCTGAGTCAAAAGCCCCTGAGCTACTCTCCGAGCTGCCCGCGCGCTGCTTGCATGGCTGAACTTTCTGCTGGGGATCGCTGCCTTCCGAGCTCGGCAGGTGATCGGGGAAGGAAGGGGGCGCTGGAGAGGAGCGGGGCAGGGGCCAGCTGTGGCCGGGGAAGGAAGGGGGCGCTGGAGAGGAGCGGGGCAGGGGCCAGCTGTGGCCGGGGAAGGAAGGGGGCGCTGGAGAGGAGCGGGGCAGGGGCCAGCTGTGGCCGGGGAAGGAAGGGGGCGCTGGAGAGGAGCGGGGCAGGGGCCAGCTGTGGCCGGGGAAGGAAGGGGGCGCTGGAGAGGAGCGGGGCAGGGGCCAGCTGTGGCCGGGGAAGGAAGGGGGCGCTGGAGAGGAGCGGGGCAGGGGCCAGCTGTGGCCGGGGAAGGAAGGGGGCGCTGGAGAGGAGCGGGGCAGGGGCCAGCTGTGGCCGGGGAAGGAAGGGGGCGCTGGAGAGGAGCGGGGCAGGGGCCAGCTGTGGCCGGGGAAGGAAGGGGGCGCTGGAGAGGAGCGGGGCAGGGGCCAGCTCCGGCCCGCTTAGTACAGATCCTGTTCTGTGGTGTGCGCGGAGCGCCCCTCCCTCATGCTGTGCCGGGCCAAGGGGTCAGGGCTGGGCGCCACTCGCTGAGCGCCCCTGGCGGGATAGGCTGGGAAAGTAGATTGGAGCCCTTCTACCAGTGCACCTGCAGTAGCAAGGCCCAATCTATCTTTTTGTATCAAAGTCGACTAGCCTGGGCCCCCTTAGGCTCTGGTTTTCAAAGGGAATAGTGGAAGTGTCGTTTTCCTTCTCGGTCAGGGGCCACGTCAGTGCTTCTCATTTGCGTGTGGCCCCCCAACTGATTTTTTTTGTGGGTCAGTGGCCCCCAAACCAAAAAAGGTTCCCCTCCTCGACTAGTGTAATCACTTGGCTGGGCAGATCTGTACCCCTTGGCAAGCACTAGGTTTTAAGGAATAGTCTTTTGGGGGAGAGAAGGGGAGAAAAGGGAAAGATCAGTTTGAACTGGTTCAAATATTTACAGTTAACACCTTCCCTCACCATTTACCTCAGGGTGTATAAGTCACAGTCCCAACTATTTGGACACTGTATGCCCCATACAATTTGTTCTGCCTCCTCCCACCCATCCATCCCCCTGTCAGTTTGTGGGTCCCCAATTTATTCCCATTTTGTGGTTCTGGAGTTCAGACAAATCAGGCTTCTTGTTTTGTAAAGTGGAAGTTCTGGGGCTCTACCACCTATCCTTCTATAGTGATATCAACAGTTAGGACAGCAAGGTCTCTCCTGAATTGCTATGCTGACACAGACCTTAGCTGTCAATTCCTCTGCTCTCCTGCTGGAAGCAGTGGGTGAATCTGTTTTGCTCTGGGTGCTGTGCCTGGATCCAATTAATATGTTGCTCTCCCTGCTGCTCTGGTGACTAGAACTGCTGCTGATCTCTGACCCTTGTTTGCCACTGCATGGACAACTTGGAATCTCTGGTGAGGTCTGGCCACATAAAGCACCTGGTTCTACAACTTTTCACTCAGTTCTGTCTGATACACAACAATCACTAGTCTTAGAAACCCTTCATAGTCCCTTCTATCCAAGGAATTTTTCCCCGCCCCAAGCCAGAAATTTCAGTTTCTTTCCTTTTGCCCCTTAGCACTGTTCAGGACCTTTCGCCCCACCTTGGCAAACATTTTTTCATCAGAGTGACCCCATAACCAGTCATTGTCAAGATTTTGCCCACCTGAGTTCCCAACAGACTGTGTTTAAAAATAAGTATCCCAAATACAAAGCTTAATCAAATTATCCCCCACTGTCCCAAAAATTACCTGCAGTTGATATTTAAATCAGGTAGTGCCTCACTAAGTCAACTCCCCTTGCTTTCCAGCAAATGCCATCAGAGAGCTCACTCAATTACCTCCGCTCTCTTGTTCTTTCCATGGCATAAGGCCATAAGATGTATTTTACAGGATAAGACAAGAATTCAAGCAATAGCAATACAGAGTTAAAGCTGAAAACTCATTTTAAACTCCATTCCCAGGTGCTTATGCCTTGAAATAGCTCTCTGTTTTCATCATCATCATCAAAAATTTCATCAGTTAATGTTACACATACAATAAAACAAACACAATTATCTTTTGCAGTCAGTTATGGAACAATACATACAATCAAATGTTCAGAATCGACCTGCTTTTTAAGTCATGAACAAACCAAGGCAAGAGTGTAGGAATCCTTTTCAAGTTATGAATACTTAAAATCAGCCAACTGGGTGCATGGTTTTTTTTTAAGATCAGCTTTAAATAGAGCACTTGAGAATGTTGTCTAGGGTTTTAGTCTTAAAATCATCTTACTTGTAGCTGTCAGATGCCTCTGAGTCAAAGTCACTACTTTGTGTACTGCAATTATTATAACTTCTATAACTGTATAACTGTTATAGAAAGGCCACCCTGTACAAACACACAATAAGATACAGCCTCCAGTGAAAGTGCTTACAAGTAGATCAGAAAGACATTGGATGTGAAAGGAAACAGAAGGCAAATAGAGACACAGAGAGCTGAAGTGACATGCCCTAGGCAGCTGCCTTCCTGGTGGCAGGAGGAGACTTTGCTCAGTTCCTCTGTCCCCAGGTCAATCAGGGTCTGGGGGCGGGAGGAGCATGGGAATTCTCTCACTCCATGCTCCTGCGCTGCAAGGGGCATGCGGCACTTAGAGTGAAAGCATTGTGTACCCCTTGCAGGGCAAGAGCAGAGTTCACGGGCTTCTTTCCCCTGCCCTGCCAGGAGCATGGTGCTCTCACTCTAAGCTCTGTGCACCCCTTGGAGGGTAGGAGGAGACTTCACATGCTTCCCCAGGATAATCAGGGCCTGGGGGAGGGAGGAGCTCACAGTCTTTCACTCCCTGTCCCCTCCCTGCAAGGGGCGCACAGCACTTAAGAGTGCAAGCACCTCATGCTCCCTGCAGGGCAGGGAGTGAGACACTTTGCGCCCTCCTCCCCACCCCCCCAGGCCCTGGTTGGCCTGAGGGCGGGGGAGCGGCAAGGCATGCGCAGGCTGGATCCACTTGCCCTCTTTGCCCACCGCTACACTAGACCATACTACAGAGTGAAACTCACAATTCCACATACATAACACATTGTTATACATCAATTAACAAACTGGCATTAGTTAAATTTTTCCTCTTAAAGCAAAATTTATTCTAAGACTCCTGGTCTACATTAGGGGATAAGTTCAAATTAAGATATGCAACTTCACTTACATTAATTGTGTAGCTTAAATTGAAGTATCTTATCTGAATTTTTGGCACCATCCACACTGCAGGAAGTCGAAGGGCCCACACTCTCCCTTTTCCTAACCCCTTACTCATTGGAGCAGGACTACTGGCATTGACGGGAGCGCCCTCACAGTTCAAATTAACATGTCTTCACTAGACCTGCTAATTTGAACCCCAGAAGATCGACTGTGGCTGTAGTGTACGACTACTTTTCAGTAGTGTAGATATGGCCTGAGTGTGCTAATAATCTTGCACTATCCAGTTAATCAGTTTTACTGGAAACAACAAAACAAGGCAGCTAAATTCGTTTAGTATGTTCCCATACAAAAGAGTGAAGAGAAGAATATTTTTCATTTTATTTTTCATTTATCTAACTCCTTCATACTGAAGCACTTTCTAAATTAAATACTAAACAGCAGTGGCCTGTGGGCTGGTGGGTAAGAGCCAAGCAGCAAATTGAACAAGAGTAAGAAACCCTGTGTTTGCTTGTAAAAATTACTGCAGAAATTTTAATGGCCACAAAGAGATAGTCACAAGGTTCTTTGTTTAGAATTTAATGTATTTACCTTGATGATAAATGACTGCACCAACCCTTTCTAGGCTGAGAGGGCTCTGTGAAAAAATTAAATATTTCAAACCTGATAGGTCTAAAATCATCCCTCTCCATCTGAATCTTACAGCTCCATTGCTCATGTCATTTTTTAAAATCATTATATCTGTTGCAAATGCTTCTTAAAAAAATTCTCTTGACTCTTTTCCTCTCACCTTTTATTACACACACACCTACATTAAAAACACTATTAGGTTTGCAAATTGCAGCACTCATAAGTTAGGAGATGGTAGAATTAAAGTCGCTGACATAACTTTAGTTCAGCCCCCTCGAGTATAAGCATTTTAATACTATATTTTCACAGAACTAGTGCCTCATTCAGTGCAGAGGATAGATAATCCTCATTTAATGAGCAGCTATTGCATATTTTGTTTTATCCTCATTTTTCAGTATGTGGTGCCAGGCCTTATTTACTGCACACTATTTAAGTCCTGCTCTCAAAAGAGACTTATTCATTTCCTCATGGGCTTTTGCATAGCACTCATCATTATAGTTTCCAATCACTTAACCAACATTCATTTATCTTCACAACGCCCTGGTAAGTGAGAAGTATTATTATGTCTACTTTGTAGATAGGGAACTGAGGCAGAGAGTGATTAAGGTCAACAATTTCCATTAATTTTGGTTACCCAGTTTGAGACACCCTAGGATCTGATTTTTCAAGGTACTTAATCATTGTAATATAGTATGTTAGATGTCTGGTAGAGAGACCACTCATCACAACAAAAATAACACTTTATTGACAGGACTGCAGGCTGGGGGCTTTGCTGCATTATCCACCTGCAACACATCAGAGTATGGGAGTTTCTCCCACACACAAACAGGAAGTAGGGAGAGACAGAGTATGCTCCATCCTCCAATACATGCGTACCACAGATACAATAAGTTTAAAGCACAGCTCCTGTTTACCTCAGTTGCAGCCATGAGTGCTCAGAATCCAAGGTTTCTCTAGTCAGGTACCCAGAAAATAAGAGGACACAATTACTGACTACTGATCTGAAAAGTTTGATTTAAGTGACTTGGCCAACATCACACAGGAATTTTGTAGCACATAGACTTTAATCTAGTTTTCAAGGGCAGGACTGGATTCTTTTAACTATAAGGCTGCCCTTTCTCCTCCTGCAGATCTCTACCTCATTCACTGTATATCTTCTGCAAAAAATGAATCTGGGTCCTATTGACAGCCACTTCTGCAATGACGCAGGGTCCTATGGACAACAGCC